AAACCATTTCAGGTGACTACCTCTTGAAGCTCATGGAGAGAATGCCAAGAGTGTGCAAAGCAGTAATCAGAGCAAAGGGTGGCTATTTTGAAGAAACTAGAATATAAAACATGTTTTCAGTTATTTCACCTTTTTTTGTTAAGTACATAACTCCACATGTGTTCATTCATAGTTTTGATGCCTTCAGTGAGAATCTACAATGTAAATAGTCATGAAAATAAAGAAAACGCATTGAATGAGAAGGTGTGTCCAAACTTTTGGCCTGTACTGTATATATGAAGCTGATTTTTATTTCTTCTAACACAGCTAACTCTGATGGGACACAAACCAATAGAGAGGCTTGCAGGGGAGTAGAAAGGCAAACAGTGGATGGTGAAAAGGAGCGTGCCTTCTGACATGGAAGCAATCACTGTCCGCAAGGAAATGCAACCAGCACTTGTCACTGCTGCAAGAAAAATCTCTCAGTGCTATGAGATATGTTACAAGAAATAGAATATGAATTAAGAGAGTTTCACATCCAAAGGTGGTATAGCAGTTTGTTGTAGAGTTAGACGCAAGCTCTGAAGTAGTTAAAGGCAATAATTTGCAATACATAGCCCTGCATTTAAGATTATAAAAGTGCGTCTGTGCCACAAGTGGGAGATTAGAATAGAACGAACAGTGATAGCCACCAAACTGACAAAGAGAAGAACCCTGGACCCCTATAAAAACACAACCTTCACCAAGAGAAACTTAAAGCAGCTACAGTCGATATTTATAATGTATGAAATGACTTACTGAATGAATTATTACCTGAATCAGCAGCTCCCACTGGGTTTATGGAGCTTTGGAGTGAGTTTCAGCTCACTGTTTTAGCTGTCAAACCCTCCACTTTACTGTTTTTGTTCTCTGTCATAGTGTCGTTTCAAGCCCACTCAGCGCCCAAATGAAATGGAGCTTTTAGCATCTGAGGGGTCAGATATTTTTCCCTGGAGTTGGTGTGGAGACTAAAACAGCTAAAAGAAAGAAAATATTGGACTCACATTCACCAGGTGGCCAGAGAGAAACAGGACCCAATGATAATATTTCTCCATATCTGCTGGATGTCCAAGTAAGCAACTATTTCCAGCCAAGTTCTAAGATCTGAATATGTCAATACTGTGAGCGCAACTTGTTTCTGCTGCCCCCAGGAGGCCTAAATAATCAGCTATTACAGGCTGAAGAATAAAGGTGTCACAGTATAATCCTGTTTTACTGTTTCATCATTACTTAAACACCACAGCAATGAGCCCCCAGATGGAGCCAAACTTAAAGCAACTCAGAGCCTTTTCAGTGTCTTTGAGCTTGTTAGCAGGTCATTGTTTCTACTGGATGGGCTATGTCACATACTGTTGCTGACAATTAGACAAGTTAGTGTGAGCATTAGAGTGCATAGACTGTAACTGCATGGATTTATTTCTGGAGACAAAACAGACATCAGGACATCAAGCTTAAGATTGCAGGAAATTCAATTGTATTTTCCATCATTATACCACTGTCACTAGACAGCAGGCAGGAGTGGAAAGTAACTAAGCACATTTACATAAGTACTGTACTGAACTACAAATTTGAGGTACTTGCACATTTTATGCTGCTTTATATTTCTACTTTGCTACATTTGGAGAGCAATAGGTTATTGTACTTCTTACTCCACTACATTTATTTGTCACCTGTAGTTAGTTTATTACTATTACTATTATTTTTTATTATACGCAATATAAATTAACAAAGTCATTATGATATGTCACTGTAAGTTAACATACCCAGCAGTATAAATAAATAAATATAAATAACATTAGCTTCACAACACTGAAGTGATGAACACATTAATGAATCATTATCCAGTAATATAATATACATTATTCTGAAATGGGCAATTCTGCATAACTTGTGTCATGTGTTTTATTTTGATGCTGATGCATTTGTGCTTTTGAGTAAGAGTTTGTTTTTTACACTGTAGTACTACTTTAACTTAAAAGTGGAGTAATCTTCCACCATTGATGACATAACATATACCCTGGCAAGCATTTTGATAAATGATTGATTTTTTAAGTGTTTTTCAAACAAAGATAACACGCAGGATGTGGTTTTAGCTTCTAAGCTATGAGGACTTGCTGATTTATTTTGTTTATCTTTACTTTTTTTTTTTTTTTTTTTACACGTTAGAAGTGTATCTTTGGATTTTGGACTGTTGATTAGACAACACGAGTTATTTAAAGACATCAGCATGAGGTCTGACATATTGTGATGGGCATTTTTCACTTTTTTGATAGTTTGTAGACAAAGTGACTAATAGAACAATCTAAAAATTGGATGGCAGACTAATGTGAAATAATTGTACACCAGCACCTGTGATCGATCATAACTGTGCACACAGCTTGGACATTGATAAAGTGCCAGTTACAGCAGCAGAAAGAAGTCTCTAAATATATTTGCTATAGTATTTCAATAGTGTGTTATCAGTGAACCACGGCATGATAAGTTCAACTCAGAGGGCTTCTGTCACATTGAACAATAAGCCAATAGTTCGCACATGAAAATGTCATCAGCAACTCTGTTTTCTGTGGAATCTGCTCATCGTGCCCTTTGGTCCAAAACTGCTGAGGTAGCTTGTAAGACCTTTGTCATTTTAGTTCAGTTCAGAATTATGAGGTCTTTTTCCATATTTGGTGTATAACTATGGATCCTTATGGAGCTGTGTAGCAGTTTGGGAAAGCACATGATGCTTTGTTTAAAAATGATAAATTATTTTTTCTTTGGTATTTTGTGATTGTTGTAAAGCAATTAAAAATATTATTTCTTTTAATGTGACTTTCTTAACCTGAAAGGCGTCTTTGCTGATCACTGAATGCAGCACTCACTCCACAGTATATTTTTCTCACTTTATATTTTGATTCATGCCTATGAGTTGCTGAAATAACCTTACATTTTTAGAAAGCTTATTTCCCCTTGATGGCAACAGAGAATGACACTCACATGAGGCAGTCATAGCAAGATGCAAAATTGCTATGTGGTACAGAGCAATTCTGACAATCCAGGCGGATAATGGCAGTGACATTTGCACCCGAGCCCTTTGTGCGTCAGAAATAATTGATGCTAAGCAAATGACATTGTCCTCTGGCATCCCAGTTGTATAGAAAGAAACGTATCCAGATAAATATTCTCTTTTTATATTTCTTGGGAGGTGGTACAGGTCTATTGGGTGCTGACGCGAACGGCAAAGCCCAGCCCCTGCTATAATGTGAGGGGAAAAGTCCACACGCAAGGAAACAGGCTGCAGAGTGGATGAGCGGCGCCGGAGCGCAGACGCATCAGGTGCGCACAAGGACGGTCTCCAAGGCGCGGAGCGGAGACTGATGCATGCCGTACAGAGCAATAGATAGCTTTGTTTTACGCCTATTATTGATGTGATGTGTAAGAATAAAACGAGGGATTTGCCGAAACCGTAAGACAAAGAGAACAGTGTCTACAGGAGCGCTCATGGAGACGCACCAGACCACAAACCCGTGCGCTTAAAACTGTCATGAAGCAGTAGCAGTAGCAGTAGCAGCAGGACGCAGACCTCCCATAAGGTCATTTTCATAACGTTTCAAGCTCATCTAAAGGGGGAAAAATTAATCATGAACTTATCGGAGTCTGTTTGGCTCTGGGAAGAGCCGTGGAACCTCAGCAGAGCGGAGGAGGAAGATGACCAGAAACTTTTATTCGGGATCGGCACGGATAATTTCATCACGCTGCTGGTTTTCGGGCTCATCTTTACGCTCGGCGTGCTGGGCAACTCCATGGTGATCACCGTGCTGGCCCGGAGCAAACCGGGGAAACCACGGAGCACCACCAACATATTCATCCTCAACCTGAGCATAGCAGACCTGTCCTACCTGCTCTTCTGCATCCCTTTCCAGTCCACCATCTACATGATGCCGACGTGGGTTCTTGGCGCCTTCATTTGCAAATTCATCCACTATTTCTTCACCGTGTCCATGCTGGTGAGCATCTTCACTCTGTCTGCCATGTCCGTGGACCGGTACATTGCCATCGTGCACTCCAGAAAGTCCTCTTCTATCCGGGTGGCGAAGCATGCCTTGATCGGGGTGGTGGTGATTTGGATACTCTCTCTGGCCATGGCTGCGCCCGTCATGTATTACCAGAATATTTTTCACAGAGGGGAGAATCACACCTTCTGCTGGGAAGTGTGGCCAGATCAAAACCAGAAGAAAATCTATGTCGTTTGCACGTTTGTTTTTGGTTATGTGTTGCCCCTGCTGCTGATTTCCTTCTGCTATGCAAAGGTAAGGAAAGCATATTGATTATGGTAATTTCCAAGATATCAAAAACTATATAGCTTACCTCTATTTTCTTGCTTACAGGTTTTAAATCACTTGCACAAAAAGCTAAGAAATATGTCCAAAAAGTCAGAGGCATCAAAGAAAAAGGTATGTACTAAGTGGTTTTACAGGGGGAGTGGGAGTGTCATGGATTACAGCAATATGTTGGCAAACTTGTCCAACTGTAATCAGTAACAAACACTGAATAAACACTGGAGAGCAGATACACAGATGGGGTGATTTGTTACCTGTTGACTTACTGATAATGACATCAACTTGCATCTGAGTTAAAATTGATAAACAATATGACTGTGATATGGCACAATTTTAAGTTCTTACTCTGTGAAAGAATTCTAGTCATCATTATTCTCAACAACATGGGCGGATTATGAGACAATGTGCCCCTGAGCATAAGGCCCCACCACCTCTCCTACACAGGAGCAAGACACAGAATTGTTTTGCATGGCTTTGTACTTGTAGACACCTTCTGTGGTTTTGTGTCTCTCAGTGGTAATTTTGTGTGACTTTGTGGTTGTGGCTCAAGAGGTAAAGCGAGTCAATCAGAAGATCGGTGGCTCGATCCCCGCCTCCTCCACTTCGCATGTCTAAGTGCCCTTGGGCAAGGTACTGAACCCCACATTGCTCCTGGTGGCTGTTCCATAGGTGTGTGAGTTCATGTGAATGTTTAAGCTGAGTAGCAGGTGGCACCTTGCATGGGTAGCCTCGGCCACTGGTGTGTGAATTTGTGTGTGAATGTGACATATAGCGTTCAAGCGCTTCTAGTGGTTGGAAGACAAGAGAGGCGCTATACAAGTGCAGGTCCATTTACCATCCATTTGTCTTGTGTTTCTTTGCAGTCATTTTGAATCTTTTTGAGGTCATTTAGTTTCTCTAAGGGGTATAATTTTGTCTGCTTCGGTCATTTGTTTTCTCTTTGTCGTTATTTTGTGTATCTCTGAAGTAATTTTGTGTCTCACTGGTGTATATTTGTGTCTTTTTTGGTCATTTTCTTTCTCTTTGTTGTTGTTCTGCGTCTCTTTATAGATCATTTGCATCTCTTTGTGGTCGTTTTGTGTCTCTCTGGGGTATATTTTAGTCTTTTTTGGTGGTTTTGTGTCTCTTTGAGGTCATTTTGTTTCTCTTAGGGTGTATTTTTGTCTGCTTTGGTCATTTATTTTCTCTTTGTAGATGTTTTGTGTCTCTTCGTGGTTCCTGTGCATCTCTGTTTGTAGTAATTTTGTGTCTCTTAGGGGTATATTTCTGTATTTTTTTTGGGTTGTTTTGTTTCTGTTTGTAGTCGTTATGCATCTCCCCGTAGTTCCTTTGGATCTCTTTGTAGTTGTCTTGTGTCTTTTTTGGTCATTTTGTTTCTCTTTGTAGTTGTTTTGCATGTCTTTGTAGTTCCTCTACAGCTTTTTGTGGTCATTTTGTGTCTCGTCATGTCTTTTTGTAATTCCTTTGCATCTCCTTGTTGCTTTTTGCATCTCTTTAAATGTGAATTTGTGTCTTTAAGGTATGTTTGTGTCTCTTTGTAGTCATTCTGCATCTCTTTGTAGTTCCTTTACATCTTTTTGTGGTAATTTTGTGTCTCTTTGTTGTCACTTTGTGTTACTTCGTCGTTCCTTTGTATGTATTTGTTGTTTTTTGCATCTCTTTAAATGTGAATTTGTGTGTCTTTAAGGTATATTTGTGTCTCTTTGTAGTTATTTTGCACCTCTGGTCATTTTGAGTCTCTTCCGGTTGACACATGTTCATTTGAGTGACATTTAGCAGCGTTTTTTTTTTTTTTTTTAAGAAAAGGCACACCCAAGTTGTACCTTCCATTAATCTGGATCAGTGTTTTCCACAGTTAACTAAACAGCAGCCTTTTTCTTCTCTGGACATATGTTTTGATTCAAAGCAGGGGTCAGTGTTCTTAGCCTTTAGGGAGATATATATCACAGCTACAATGACCTACAGCCCTGCGCACATTATTCAGTAAGGGGCTATCTGCACCATATGCTGCAAGGTTTCCTCCAATTCAACCAACAGTTGGAGGATTTCCATCGTCTCTATTTTTCCTTTGGGCCAAAATGATGAGTATTACTGTTATAATGCTTACTGTTAACCGGCGCACTTGAGCAAAGTGGCCAAAAGGCAATGTGCAATCAAACCGCCATCTAGCCTTCATTATTCCTGGTGGAGGTCATTTAGCTTCCCTGAGAGCCAGTTATCCTCTGTCTGTCTGTCTGTCTGCCTGTCTGTCTGTCTGTCTGTCTGTCTGTCTGTCCATTGTCCTCCAGGGCCGGTCAGTGTAGCAGCCCAATCCGATAACAAACAGCCTTGAAACCAAGAGTGCAGACTGCGTGTCTGCTGGAAGGGAAGGAATTGGTGAAAATGTGCTTTGATGTGCACCTCCCTACACGCACGCTTTATTGCACGAGGCTTACAATAGGAATTTCACATGTTCTCATGATTTACAGTTCTCACTGTGCAGAGTGCTGATCCAAAATACACAGAGGGAATGTGACACTGAAAGCTTTGTGACAAACGCTTGACAAACAGTGCATTAAAGCTGGACTGTAATACATAAATTACCTCGGTAGGATAGCTACTGTTAACTATAACTGATGTCACAACAGACTGTTTGCACACACATATTAAATCTGAGAAAAGTACTAACAACTTCAACGAATAATTTTACTTTGATAGCAGCAACATGCAGATTTATTTTTCTATGAATATACAAGTATGGTGCCAAAATCTGAGTTTCTTTGGCAGTGTGTCTCTGTTTTGTCCAATGTGTGTCAAAGAAAATGTTTAATTATAAGAAGGCTAATGCACAGTATGGCAAGGTGCAGTATGTTCCCAATGGACAATGAATAATACATGTGCATTTGGAGGCAAATAGATTAGATGATTTGTTTCTTCTGTGTATTATTGTACCTTTATTTGTGCCAGTAGGTTTGTTGGGTGTGCATACTCATATACACTACAGCAATGACCTGTTTAGAGGTTCAAATACACTCCCATTTGCACCAGAAATTTACCATTTACATAGTTTCTTTCAAAATAAACGCACTACGCACTACACCACAAATTGACGTTTTTTTCCCTTCAACAACACAAACATGTGGTTGGGTTTAGGACAGAATAATAAGGTTTGGCTTTATAATTTTACGGGGCGGGTGAAGGTCGGTGTTTGTTGGACCCATCCATCACCCCTCCCACCTACTTTACTTGGACTTTCGCCGCCTTAACTTTCGTTCTTGTCCCACTGCGTTTTCCCCTGATGCTGTCCAGCACTGTTAAACTATAACAGCAACCAGCTGCGTATCGTGCTGATGTTAAAGGATGGCTTTTTTGTCAGTGTCTGACGCTGCAAGTCACTGCTCAAAAGCTAGATTTCGACGACTTCAGAGTGAGACCAGGTTGAACAACACAACAACACAACAAAGATACCTACTGTGCTCTAGTGAACATTAACACTAATGTCGGTGAAGATTCTCAGTCATCCAGGTTATGGTAATCGTAAGTGCTATATCATAGGCAACTGGACTTGCTTGCGTTTCTTGAAGACGTTTCGCTTCTCATCCAAGAAGCTTCTTCAGTTCTGAACTGAACGATTAGCACAAATGAATATGAACCTTTTCTGCTAAAGAGTTCAGTGCCTAAAACCATAATTTTACCTAACATAACATGTTTGTTTGATCTCACGCCCTCTTGACTTTAGCAATTTGTTTGCTTTCCTCACTTCTGTTTCTTATGCACTAAGCTGGGCTGCCAATTACAGTGATTTTATTCACCAATGGCCTCAGCTGTCTGACGCCATACAAGAAAAAGAAAAGGGCTGACTAGTGCCAAGGCCCAACATTGACCAATCCATTTGCACCACTGGTACCACCACTAGCTTGGTGTGTCAGGGCCCTTAAGGCAGCAACACACTAATCTGACTTAAGTATAACATTTCGTGATTTTCAACGCAATTTGACAAAATCAAAAAAAGACTTGCAACTCAACTTGGACTTTAACACCAATGACTCTCTTGAACCTTTTGACATAATAATACTTGGTACCTTACCCCATGGCCAAGTAATAAAAATTATGTTTAAAAAGTGTGCCACAAGTCATTTAATTTCCTGAATCAGCTAACCTCAACACTATTCATTCACATTGAGACAGCTCTTAATTACAAAGATCCCTGAGCAGCCAGTCAAGTTGCAGAAGAAACATAAAAAAAATAGCGTTATGTTACTGTGCACCAGTTGGGAAAAAATGATACCAAAGATAACTTCGTTCATGTACAAAATCTATGCGGTAGTCACCCAAGTACAAATTGCAGCACAACTTTCTGTTGCTTCTCCCCACAGAATTGGGTTAATTATTCACTAGATAAATTGATGCGATTAACACTCACTCAAAATGTATCATGAAGGTTTCTTGTTACATCTTCATTGTGAATCTTTAGGCTATTCATTCGTTTTTTTTTTATTTTTCAAGAACTTTTAGGCTATTTTATTTACATGAATGATTAAGCCCTTTGACAAGAAATGCTAAGTTAATAACATTGACTTCATGCTGAGGCTCTGGCTAAGGGGACTCTTGAGCCCTTGGGCCCTGTAGGCTCATGCCTGGTAGGCTTGTTTGGTAATATAACCCATGGTTTTTAAGACAAAATATGTTGTCCATACCCAGGTGATTTTTGTGTCTAGACCTAACCACACCTTCACCACAGCACTGTTGCAAACAAAAATTGTCCATGTTTCTGTGACAAAATAATGTACTAATGTATTAGTGGTTTGCAAAAACATACAGTACAAACATTTTTCTGGCGACTGGGTTGGTTTCCTCCTGCTTCTAGTCTTGCTAAGCTATGCTAACTATCTCCTGGATGTATCTCCATACTTACTGTACAGACATGAGAATGATATCAATCTTTCATCTCCCAAAATGTGAAATTATTCATTTGAGCCTAAACTAGGAAAACTGTTCTGAACCAGGGTACTGTTATTAAATAGTTATGATGCTGGTATCAAGTTTGCAAGCTGCTTTTATGTGCTATCATAAAGGATTAGCTAATGATACGCAATTTACAGCGGGGCAAGACACCCACTGACCATTTTCTAATT